GTACCTATATTTATTCCCATTTGAAACATTTGCTTCAATTAAATTTATCACAAACACGGTGTAGCAACCACAAGCTATTCCACAGGCAAATAGCCTTGAAGCAGAAGTTACCAATTCTCCTCTGAATGCAGTGTGAAAAGATCTTTGCCACCTGAACGCTTTTCCATTAGAATGTGCTAGGTCTTCAAGGTTGGATAACCACAGAAATAGCTTGCAATATGCAAGTATACATCTTCCCCTTCTGTATGTGCAAGAGGATGTCACGCACAGTCATTTGTATGCCACGTTCTGGCCTGAACCCTATCTGGTAGGGAGACAGGGCCTTGAGATAGGGCCTTGTTCACTGACTTTAAAACCATTTTGCTCAAGAAAGAAAAGGTGCGTCACAGGTGGTAATTAACTAAGTCCATACATCTCATGGCGAGCTTCCTGCATACTGAATACTTGGGGAAAAAAATCTCATTCGGCCTGCTGGAACAGCATTAGTTTTCTCTGTGTAGCTGGAGTTGCCAGTGCCTTTAAGGGTATTTCAGAAAGCCCGTGGTTCCAAGGCTGCAGATCTGAAGAGCAGGTTTCAATGTTGTTAGGTATACAAATGTGAGAAAAAGAAGAAACGTTTCTATTCCTGCCATCAAATTACGTTTCTGGTTCTCCAGAGAGGCCCATCGTGAAACCGTATGTCCTTTCTTTCAAAGTTTGTTTCTTTGTTTGGGTTTTTTTTTTAAACACTATTCTGCCCAAATGTTGCTCAAGGTTCCCAAGGCAACACAAAGACAATCAAGAATAAAGCAGCCGCTTGCCATTTTTTTTTTTAAAGTTCTGACATCTGGAGTTGAACTGGTCCAAGCACTGCTGTAGAACAGGGTAAGGAATCACCTGGACTGAAGACTACCTCCCTCTTCCATAGATGTTTGGCATTAGGCATTCACATTACTTGATTTTTACTTCAGGTACACTTTATTCTAGAAGAAAGATTTTTGGCTCATCAGGTACTGCAGTTCTCTAACAAGCCACACTCAGATTTAGCCAAATCCGCAATTGTGGCATGGAGAGCTCAGAAGTATATGCAGGAAGACTGCTGTACCATTTCAGCTTAGATCTTTGTTTAGTGGAAATAGGGATCTGTGCAGAATAGGAGACAATTTTTGTTTTTAATGTATTCACTCAATCTAAACATCAAGTCCTCAGCATTTAACAGAAAGAGATTCTGGTCAGACTGGGACTTTAGGTCTTCAAGCCCTTCAGGACAATGTAGGAACAAGCACAAAGGCAAAATAAATTACAATCCACTGTTGGGGGTTAAACAAATCCCTAACTGTTAGGCATTATGATGAGACCTCTGTGAAGACAGCTTATACCAGAAATACTTATTGGTACATTCTTCAGTTGAGGTACTCGATCCATGCTGTTTTCAAAGACTCAAGAACGTTTAATCCTGTGATCTGAACCACACTGATAACTCCTCTTGCCATAAGTAATGCATATACCATTATGGGCATTCTGCCCAGCTCTAGATTTCCCACTCTATGGTGTGAAATATTTCAGTTTTCCTCTAAACCATTCAAAACCTAGACCTAGATTCAATGTCTGCATTCTACATCTACATTCAACACCTTTATTCTAAATCAATTTTGGTATCCGTTCTTCAGAAGCATATAGAATGTATGTTAAATGGATGACCAGCTCACTGGACTAAGTCAAGAAATAGGGTTTTTGCTTCAGAGAGTGACGGACCTGGTTCACTATCAGACTTGTCTATTTTGAAGTGAGGCAGTGAACACCATCTAATTTTCAGCATGCAGGTATAGATATTTGACAAACTACCACTGCTGCCCTTTTGAGTAGTTTTAACAAATGTTAAAAAGATTGAAACGTAAAGGAAATTGAAATGTCTGTACTATATAGTCCCACTGTAACACCACCCATGATCAGCACAGTGAAAAGCCATGAAACCTCACACTGCTATAACACACACAGAGGAATAAATCTATTTAGAAGTTTCCTGACTGATTCTTAGTATCTAGTGAACACACGTAAAAGTAGAAATGAGGCTTCCCATTACAAGCATAGGTGACTGCAGTCATGAGCCCTCCTCCAAAACCAACTTCCTACCTACCACCCATCCATCCTAGTCTGTACTGCCTACTGCCATCCATTGTGTCTGATACAGAAACTAAGATGATATGTTTCCCCAAGTAAATCAGACTTTTGTAAAAACAAACATACTACACACAAGAAAAAAGCATGTTAGAGACATGTAAGCCAATACTGCACAATGTTGATAACTATCCTTTCTGTATTTCAGCTATACAGACTGCATTTTAAAATATTTCTAACAGATTACACATTACAGAAAAATTGAGGTATAACACTAGGAAACTGTTCTTAAAATAGTAATATTTAAATTTGGTTCTTCCACTTCTAGTAGAAAAACTGGTAGTGGCCTAACAGTAACTGAAATACACAACCACTATTTGAAGAAAAATATACTAGATGATTCTTCTAAGTATTTACCTGATTTAGAGATAAGCTTTCATCTTTGTACAGTGTATCCAGACATTATGTTAGGAGGGGCCAAATGTTATTTACAAATACAACGCCACACAATAAGTGAACCATGTAAAAGGAGTAGAAAGGTCTTATCAGAACTATCAAAACAGGATCTGGATCAAAATGAAGCCAAAATAAAAGGAATACAGTAATATTAAGAGATACCCAAGAAAGCTCTCATATGAGTTTTAAAGTTTACATTTTATTCCAGTTTTCACAGACGTCAATTTGGCTTTTTGTTTGTTTTCATTTCTCTCTTTCCATATCTAAATATTTATGTATACATGGTAATATTCCACCAAGTTTTGTTTCAGATCAGTATTCTTTCCTCACTTGTGTCCTTTCTGTAGTGCTACTGTCATATACTAAACAATCTTTCCTGTGATGTATTTCATTTTTCTATTAAATTTACATTTGTATTTGAACATTTTTAAAAGAATTCTATAGAGAAATCGTTCATTAAAAGAAGTGATTCAAGTTCAAAAGAGACCTTTTTCAAATGCAGTATCCACACTGAAGAGAGGAATCTGCAAGGTCTCTGTGCTTCTGAAGACTGCTGTATCTTCCCTACAAGAGATCACTACTCCCTAGGGCTCAAAATGTTAATGATGGACAGCAGTTATTTTTTCTTCTCCGGGCAGTTTGTGTACATTAGGCATTTTACAAGCATTTCTGCAACTCCCCTGTTAAATTATTAGCAGCGCACTACAAAATGTATACATTATTTCTATAAGCTGGGTAGCTCAATACTTTCAAAGCTCTACCTTCATAGTTTTAAGATTGAATTAAAAAAATCCCAGGATAGATCAAATCCTTCTTACCTGTTAGCATTGACTTTGAGAGCTTACTCACTTGACAATAGTATTTTAAGTATGTCTGTGAGACCAGCAGACACTCTTCCAAGAATACTACTGACAGGATAATTTTTTTTCCCCTCTGATTTTGTTCACTGAGTTCTTATTCAATACACCTGCCATCCTTTTGGTAAGCGCAAAGCTCCTCCTTGACACCCCCCCAAAGGACAAATATACTCACACGCGTTTGGGTCTTACAGCCAAATTTACCTTTCATGGTTTGTAGAAGGAGATATGCTGCACCAGACATACCACCACCCATAGCATCAGCAAAAACGTCCTTGTACGTTCTTCATCAAAGCATGACCAGTTCAGATTTTACCGTGGGAGCAAACAATAAAACCAGTTACTCAAATCCAACCCACAGAATCCTGGCATTAACCAGAAATCTAGCCAAATACCTAGTACAGTAATGACTGTCACTGCCCAAGAGACACTCTTGGCAAGTTTCCAGGGCCCAAAGAATAAAAGTTACTCTGCTGATTTTTTTTTTATTTATAGAGTCAAAAATAAGTGCAGAAATCGTAGAATCTGCAGTTATTTTTATTCTCCTCAGTAGGAGGATTTTGCTTTAGTAGGGGGTAAATTGCTCTCTGTTTACATTGTCTGTAATAAAAGCCTGCAGTTGAGCAGCCTTGTCCTCTCGCTGCAATTACAAGGAGAGGGCTTTCATGGTCTGTGCTCTAAGACTCTGCAGGCCTCTCAGTTGGCCTTTTGGCCACAATTTGATCGCCCTTCACTTTTGTAAAACCATATATTAACGCATCTTCAAATCTCCAGAAGGGTCAAAGTATGGGAAAATTATTTAATAATCAAGTCCATGCCCAGCCCTTGCAGATAATTAGTCTTTACAGACCGTTATCTATCAGCCTACAGACTAGGGGCTCTGATTCAGCAGAGTACTTAGGCAAATGCTGAAATATTTATTCTGAATAAACTTAAGCAGGCACTAACTTCAGGCATATGGAGAAGTGCCTGATTGGTTACGAATGGACTTAACCATCCATCTAAATACTTTAATGTATTAAGACCTTGATTTGGACAGCATTTTATATGAATTTATACAGAGCTGGAACACCGAGAATACAGTGACTTGCTTTTACAGCTGCGGTTGCAGAGCAGCTACCAAATTGTGCGTATTAACAACTTCATTAGAATAGAGAAAGGTATTACATTTCTTGGTGGGTTTTATTTTCTTTTATTTTACTTTAATGTTTTAAGAGCTATTTAAAGTATAAACACTTAATAGCGTTTCACTGCACTCTCTATTCCACTAGAGGTCAGCCTGCAACAGAACCCCAAGCAAACACAGGAACTGCTGCACACTGGTAGCACTGACATTATTTTCTTTCTCTATTTTATATATTAGAAAGATTTCTTCAGAGCCATAACTTAGATCTCTCACTAAAATGGAGCAACAGGAAGATATAATGGTGCATTTCATTTATGAATGACCTATAATAAATTACTATGAAGTATTCCAGGTGCCAAACGACAGAATGCTTTGTCTGCACATGAACTATATTTCACATACTTTAATTTGGCTGACACATAAAACTCATTTGACATTTTGCAGGTATTTCTTTGAAAGGATATTTGATTCTTGTTGAGCGTTAAGGTATGGAGGTGGGGTAACCTGGGTAACAGAAGGTCATTTCCAAGTAGATTGTTGTCCAAGATCAGCTCTTCCAAGTAACTGAATGTTTTCAGTCCTTCTAGTGACCTGCAAACGACAAAGGCAACAGGAAAAATGATACTCCACTAAATCAGGGAGGCCATTATGAGCTGAAATAAATATTTTAACCTTCCCTTTCAGGAGTGGGAATAGTTTTGGTTTGGGCCTGTCAGAAGAGTGAATGACAAGCATTAGTGGCAAGGGGAGTGCTGGCACTGCAACACATCCTTCACATGCTGGCAGGATGAAGGATGGGGGTCACTTAGTGAGTAGCCAGGATCCAAAACAAAAGGCTTCAGATATGGGGCCTGCAGGATGAATTTGTCAATGTCTTGTGCCTTCAGGCACCCAGCCTCGCCTGACCCTAACCTCCATTCCCAAGATAAATAACTCTGTCACAGTTCACCTTCATTCCCTGGACACAAATTTAAGTTGTCATCCATCATTTCTGCCAAGAAATATCATACCCCGCTAACAATAATAAATACAACTTCAAGTATCATTTCTTAGCAGTTACCTTACATGCAATAATAGGAAATGGAGAAGGGATTTTTTTTTTTCCTTTTTATTAACCACTTAATTTGCTTCTTGAGTCCCTGCAAACAAAATAAAATGTTCTCTACAAAATAAAATGCAGCATTACTCCAGACAGAAAAGGCATTTGCTTTCTTTTCGGAACTTACTGTCCCACTGTCAAGCCACAGGTCAGACTGCAGAGAGCAGCTTTAAAAAGGAGCGTTTCACAACATGGAAGTGCAGATGATGGCTTGTAAATAAACAAGATTCCGGAGGTATTCATTCCTCTGATAGCAAAGTACAGGGAAAAAACCTAAAAAGAACACTTTGGTACCTTGTTAAGGCATCTATTCCAAACTTGATTCCTAATGCTTGCACATTCCAACAGGAAAAAAAAACCCCACATATTAATCAACTAAGACACATGGTATATGGAGCATACGCACAGACACGCATTCACAGCTCATTCACCTACCAGACACCTAAAGATATGCTGAGATTGCATGACTTGACAGCTGATCTACTATGCCTACCAGTGGGAAGATCATCACTGTATCTCCTGGCTGTTTTATAAAATGTGATTAATAAGGGGAGATGCAGTCTATACTATTTATTCAGTTTCCACTGACATTTATACTGAGGGGATTTCCTCACCCTCCTCCCAGTTTTTGGCAAAGATCTAAATACAGCCAAGGTCCCTGTTCTACAGGCACTACTGCTGGACGAAAATATAAATATTATCAGCAAGTATATGGGTTTCAAATTAGACAATTTAACATTCATCTGTCCAACAAAAACAAGATACTGCTTTTGTAGATACGACTTACTGACCACTTATAAATCACAGTGAGAGGGTTCAAACAACCAAAAGAAATCAAGTCCGTGACCTTTACACTGGGTACTGTACACTAAACTATGAATATTCAAGTAACATTTGCACAACACTGAAACGGTGTATTTCAGTCCAAGGACTCCAAAGCGCTCACAATCTGTTGACTCGGCCTTCTGAAAGGGAGGTACAACTATTACTAATGCCATTTTGATGCTGGGCAGCCAGACCTGAAGAAAATTTGCCATGCCTACAACCCTATGGCATATCTATATCGTTACAATGCACTGAGACTACAATTTCTGAAGCTGAAAGAACAAAAGCCTCTATTATAAATGTTCTACTGAAACAACCACCACAGTAACAGTCGCACTTTTTGCACTTGCCTTTAACAAGCTGTTTCGGAAAAAACTCGATTCAGCCTACATAAACTGCGCACCGTTAAGAGCTGTGCTAGCATGCTGTACTAAGTTAGCTACTGCAAAGGGTCGCATCAGACTTGGTTTTGCCAAAGTCAAGATCAGAAGAGAGATCAGCAAACATTTCAGACGCTGCTTTCCCCCAAGTACCTTTAAAAGGCAAAATAACCCAGAGGAAGTAGCAGTGAGTTTATCAAGCTGTTATGAGTTTTCATTTCAGTTTATTTGACAAACCTAGTTTAGCAAATTCCCCTTAAATACTCTTTATTATATAAATAGTGGATTATTTCCAAACCTCACATTTCAGTGCAAGACTTTGACTTGCCAAAGGAGTTCAGAGAAGGCCACCTCCTTGTCAACACCACAGAGCCTTATGGGACGTTAATAGGTCCTTTGTGAAAAAACATTGCTTGGGCTCTGGTCAGTGTCAGCGTCAAAATACACATTGTTCCTGAGTTATGTTATGCAAATATAATACTCTTATCATGAGAATCAGCAAATGGTTGGCAACTGGCAAGGAGAAGAAAGCGCACATCCAAAACTGCTGCAGGGGAGGCATAAAACAAAATGACAAGCCATGAAGTGGGACAAAAGGCCTTGAAACACTAGAGGGAGTTGCCTATTGAAACAGCCTTTCTTTCACAAGCCTGGGCTGAACACAAGGGTACTAGTTTCATAGACAGGCAGGGAAAATTGTGCGCAAATCTCCTTACACCTGTCTGGTTTTGATAATTTTTGCCATGTAATGTTATTAGCTGCTCAGTTAAAAAGGAGCCGTGTTACACAGGGGGTTGCTTATTAATTGTTGTTTTCATGTCATCAGAGCAGTGTGCACTTGGTGATTTAATCACCTAAATTCAGAGTCCAGGGAGATGGGAGGGGTTGCCACGGTACAGAGAGAGGGTGTAGCCATTAACATAAATTTACATCCATATGTTATTTTGCCATTCACAGAATTCTTATTTTTTCCATCTTGAACAGAAGAAAAAGCTAGCACCAAAACAAAATTGCTAAAACAGTTGGTAAAGAAACAAAAAAGGAAAAAATGTGTTTGCTATCATCCAGTGATACTAGCTACTAAATTCAAGGCAACAGTCTCTACCATCATAATATATAAGGAAATATCGCCCAGCAGTTGTACTCTACAATTTAAAAGCTTTAAGTACAATCCGCACAATAGGTTTTACGGTACAAATTTCAGCAAGTCCTGTAACTTCTGTGTGCCTCACTTTCCCGCCTGCAGAGGAGAGATAACATCACTTACCTAAGAAAGGATTGCAACCGTAAATTAGTATATAGAAAGCATTTTTGAGAAGCTGAGGTAGAAATCAGCACCAAATAGTGGCATTTTTATTTTTAATGAGGGTGAGAGAGTTAGATTAATGTACTCCAAGTATTTCCTTATGAGCCCATTACAAGATAGGAAAGGAGTGTGTATATATATACACAGCATAGCAAGAAGCACACAAACACCCTAAAAGAGATGAGTATAAAAACAGGGAAGTCCCCCAAGAAAGAGAACCGGTCTAAAATTAAATCTGTGCTGTTTTCTCAGAGTTCACAGCAGAAAAAATGTCTCCCCATATCGGTGTATTGAAACAAACACACAATCTTACCACCACGATACAACCAGCACTGAAGGGGCAGTGGCAAGCAGGTTTTTTCCCCAGTTTCAAAAGGCTAATAAACATCACTAAGGTGTATTGCGGGTTGCTTTTCCCTGCTCTAATGACATGAAAGTTGCCCATTATCTCACCCACAGGTACCATCTCAGTTACCTCATTGCAGGGCTCACACTCTGCTCCCAGAGGAGAGAGCAAGTGCTGCCAAGAGATTTCCATTGCAATTTCCAAAGTCACATCAAACCGACAAAACATCACAACGTATTCAGCGCCGCCTCATTCAAACAGAAAAAACTTTAAGTTTCCACTGTAATTAACCCTATCCTCGTTAAGATAATTATGATCAAGCTCCCTGTCACAGCTAATATCACGGCATCATTGCCTATGGCTCACGCTTTGCCCTCATTAGCTTACAAAAACACTGCGCTAAACAGGAAACTGACTCCCTCTGCAAAACGACTTAAGATGTTCTGTAAGCAGACAGTAAATAATCCTTTCGAATACAAAGGTCTCAGAAATGCCATTTTATCCAAGTCCTTCGGCTAATCGGTATGATTTCTTCCAGCTTTCTTCTCCATAATTCATTCATGGTTTGTAACAAAGTTTTAATCATAAAGGAATGTCATGGCAGAGATTATTTTTTTTTCTATGTGTATGCATGGCAACTGTCAACTACACTATTTCAGACGGTCCCTCTGGCCTGACAGGGATTTGGTTACAAAACCTAGCAAGCAGCTCTTCATTTTGGTAATATTTGACAATGAAAACACGAGATTTTCTAAATGAAAAAAACCAGAAGCCTCTCAAGTAATGGACAAACCTCGGTACTCTGCAGTTGTCCTTGTCCAGAAGAACAAGCTGTTCAGAAGTATATGCTGAAAAAGGAGTGTTCCTCACATTTTACCCCACCCCTCCATTAATAAGACAGCTGCCTCGTATCTAATGACTTTTTCCTCCTGTTTAACAGGAAAAGAGAGAGCAGTTAACAATATGTAAATGAGAGAGTTTGGCTTTAGCCTTGAAATTGATTTGCACTCTGTTGACAAGAGATAGCCATTACCAGAAGTTAAAGATAGAGCTGTTACAAAACAAGAGCTTTTTAAAATACCTTTTTTTCTTGCCTTTTATGTTTTAACAGATTACAGGAGAGCAGAATCAACACGAGAACCCTAGTACCAGATAATTTCAGTATTTAAAGAATAGAAATGTAATTTCTATTCCTCCAGAACCTGCCAGCCAAGGAGCACAAAGCATTTTTTTTTAAACATTAATGAATTACTCTTCAAAACCTGCTGAGCTTAAAATTCCATTTTGTAGTAAAGCAGAGAGAGGTTAAGTGACTAACGAAAGGTGACCTCCAGCAATTTTCTAAGAGACAAGAAATAAAACCCAGAGCTCCTGACTTCTAGTCCTTTGACTTAACCTCACCAAAACAAAACAAAGAGCAATAAATAAATGCTGTATATATAAAAACATAAGACAGACACATGTGTAAGTTTAGATTTTGCATAATTCCCTGGGAATGCAAAACATCATTTCAGGTTTACTTGCTTTGATTCCTGTTCAATTTTAAATTCCATTTAATCTGAAATATAGCATACAAATACGGGGAAAAACCCAAGCCATTTCCAATTCTGTTCTGATGGTGGAAGGGGTTCGGTGAATCTTCTGTGCAAACTCCCTCGGGCTGAGGCCTCTGTCAGAATTCTACTCTCAAACCTGCTTTGGGGGGTTCTGCTCTAAACACACCTCTCACCTGTGAGTACAGAAAAATAAATAACCCAATTTAAAGAAAACAGAGTGGCTAGAATTCCGTTCAAATCCCCCCCCCCCCCAAAAAAAAAAAACCACTCTCACTATTATAATCACAAAAATACTGCAAATCAAAGGTTTATGTATTTCCTGCATACAGAGACAGTAATGGCAGGTAAACCACAAGCAAAGCATCAAAAAATGACCTCTACACTTTTCAAGCGCAATAGCTTTTCT